AGGGGAGAAGTTCCTTCGCGTTGGAGGCATTCGCTAGTGGTACCTGTGCCTAAAAAAGCACCCTACAATCTCCCCGGAAACTACCGTCCAATCAGCATTACATCCATATTTGCTAGAGCATTTGAAAAAATATTGAAGCGCCGGCTTTTGGCCCACTTAGAATGTAACAATGTTATTCCCTCTTCACAACATGGATTCTGTAAGGGACGATCAGTGGAGACAGCGTTGCTTACTTCCTTGAACGATTGGACCAAGGCTATTGATCTGAGGAAGGATGTTCATGTAGTGTATTTTGATTTCGCAAAGGCTTTTGACCGAGTGCCTACTTCACTTCTTTTGAATAAGCTCCAGTACGTCGGCTTTCACCACAGAGTTATTGAGTGGATCAGCAATTTCTTGCGTGACCGGAGTTATCAAGTTCGCATAGGGAATGTCCTATCCAATCACTATTTGGCCACCAGTGGTGTGCCTCAAGGGGGCGTATTATCGCCGTTGCTATTTTAGTATATACGTGTGATTTGCCAAATTTGCTTTCGAGTTGGAGTCTCCTGCGTAATGTATGCTGATGACATTAAGATTTATAAAGTTGTTGAGAATTTAGACGACTGTAGGGAGCTTCAAGCTGCAATTGATTGCGTTATGTCTTGGTCTGTTAGATGGGGCTTGCCTCTTTCATGTGAGAAAACCTCGCTTCTCTGTATTGGCAAAACATATAACATGAACTATCGGGTTGGATCCAAGGAGCTCCAATGTGTTTCTGAAGTTCGCGATCTCGGCTTTAAATTCGACAATAAGCTTGGATTTGATAAGCACTATCGAGACGTAGTATCTAGAGCCATGTTTAGGATTCACAACCTTTTTAGAGCGCTCTGCTCGAAGGATTCACGAACTCTCATTAGAGCGTATAAAACATACGTCAGACCAATTCTTGAATCTGGCACTACAGTATTCAGTCCTTCTAAAAAGAAAGATATACGTTTGCTGGAAAGTGTTCAGAACAGCTTCACGCGGAAACTTGCTATGCGCTGCTCAGGATTATCCTACGAATTCATCCCTGGAAGTGTCGAGCGTCGCCGCCTTTTTTCCCTTCCCAGCTTGCTAGTTAGGCGGAAGCTTAGAGATCTTGTAATGGCATTCAAAATCTTATCAGGGAAAGCAGCGGTGGATTTTCACAGCTTCTTTCTGAATTCTTTCAAAAGATTGGCCAGTAAAATTCTACTTGCAGAGGATTCACGTGCGCTTTCAGTTTAGTTGTTTTATTGAATTTTGCTTCCTGTTCGTTTGTCTTTTCTCCATTCTTAGTTTTCTATCTAAATCCTTTTTGACCACTACATTGTCTCGTCAGCCGAGTTGTTGATAATTGTGTTGCTATTGTTTTGTAGGTATTATACCAGGTGGATATTAATCTACGTCCAATAAATGAAATAAATGAAATCAAATGAAACCGGAATAGCATTGTGGAGTGGAGGTTTTTTGATTCGTTAAAAAATTTTCTTTTTCCGTCCCTCCCACACAATTTTTCCTCTTGCGCTATGACGCCTCGCTTCTTTGATCAGCCATAACCGCTGCTCCAAGGTAAAGGTGGAACTCTTTGCAATTGAAGCTAGGCTATCCATTATCTCGCAATGACCTATACCTCATACCTACATTTACTGTAAGGTTACATTCTCTCGTAGGTAAATATTACTGAAATATACATCCAAGCTTCAGCGTCTACAAATTCTAGTGCCCACAAATTAAATTTTGGGCACTTGAACTGCTGCAACCCCAAACCTCGGAATTTCAACTTTTTTTCGGAAACATGCCCATATTTGTGATTCGATGTCATGGTTACGAGAAGGACATTTTCAGCGTGGCGCCATCTGGCGCTATTCAGACCTTGTCACAACACCTTCTTAAACCTTTCGTACTTGATTCTCTTGCCATTTGTTCACATACCGCCTCCTCTAGCTGACTCCTTTACTAACGTTTAGTAGGTCCTTCGCTGAGGTTCGAACTTTGAAGGGGCCGAAGTTGTCTCGTTCAATGTGTTTTGCGTTTTGTTTCTTTGAATCTTTTCCAGTTCTTTCTCGTCGGCACTTGGATGCAGTTTAGGGTTATCGTGGTAGAAAACGATTCATAGGCGAAGCGCCTAAAATCCAAATCATGCATCGATGTAGAAGGCTGAGCAACAGCCGAATTCCGAAGAGCATAGCTGGAAAGACCGAATTCACGCGATTGAAGACCTCACTCTTCGTGAGAACCTAGCCTATAGAGGTAGTTTAATACCCTGCATATGATAATCTTTTTGACGGTGGCGCCATTGGGCGGCAGCTGGCACCACTTTGTCATGATGGCTGGTTTCATCGATTCAGGGGTATACATTTCTGTAGAAGTTATTTGATTTCTCGATTGTGGTAATGAGATTCGTCTTCAGCAGAAGCGCTGTTCAACCCGTTTTCCTGAGCTCTATCACTTATAGCGCCTTGAAGGAGGATTCCACGAAGGTCGACGAACGTGAAACCCACTTGATGGCGAAACATGCGGACCTCCTAAGTGTGCGACTATCACGCAGTTCGCATCGAATGATATGCCCCTGACGATCTATTATAGTATGGCCCTCCCCACGGCACTATTAGCCCGGAACGTTCACTGACGCCGTCTATACGCGGCGAGGGAATGGATAGCAGAGAGAGCGTTATCGTGAAGAGGGCACAACGATGAGAGCCGCATCAATGCGGAATCCGGGACAAAAAAGGGGCCCATTTCTCGGGTTTAGGCCGTTCACATGGTTCCTTTTTCCTGCCTGTTCCACTTACCACCCCCTTATTTTATAATGAGCCATCTTTTTAAGTGAAATCCGCCATCATGTAAGACTATGGGAGAGACTAGGGGTGCGGAGTAGGGAAACCAGTGGGCAAACCGTGGGAAAACTGGAAGCGTATGTGTATGAGGTTACATGCCGTTTGCTTACTCACGCGGAGTTCTATTCTCCCCACATTCTTGATCCTTATTGCATTCTAATGAGCAATGATAGAGCGCAGATAAGCAGGGAATTGGCGCCAAATGGCGACGACGCCAGAATTGGATGTATTTGTAGTCAAGGTCTTGTGCAAAAATTAAGACCAAATTAGGTGGCAACAAGTGTCATGAGCAAGGTGGCGTCATCGCTTGGAATGGACGTCATTTTTCAGTCATTGAATCATCCATGGGCAAGTTTTACGAAAAATAAAATTTCAGGATCCTGGAATTGTAATAGTTAGGAAGTACCAGATTTTGCGAGCTCACCAACAGTCAAACAATTCAAGTTTAATTTAATTTTCAGAAAGTTACATATAGCCTTACCTCTAAATATTTTGGTAGAGGTCGAGGTAGTCGTTGGAAAAGAGTCGGACTTATAAAATAAAAACAAAAGAATTCTATTTATTTTCGAGTTTTTTACTTTTCTTTGAATACAGCTCGCCTGCGCTGTACCATCTCTTGCACTGGTGACAGTGATCTTGTTGTCTCCCTTGTACCACCACTTTTCTGCCATGCCATACATTTGAGAAGACTAAGAATGTTAATTTTTATATTTATTACAGGAAAGTATTGTATTCAGTGTTTTGCGGAAGAAGCGAGTTCCTTGTTAGAATTTCGAAAGGTAATCAACGAGAGTATTGCTTTATGAAAAGGCCTCATCTTTGTCACTGAAGTAGTATGTACCTTGCATTCCCCCTTAAAAAGCTAAGAATACCGAAGCTAGTCATATTTTGAGTCAAAGATCTCCGTCCCTATTTGCTCAGATACTTCCCCTAAAGTGCAGTTTGCTAGCAACGTTCATGGAACGTAGGAGCGCCGATCAGATACAATTAACGACTACGGCGATGGTGAAAAAACAAGCGAAAGAAGTGGGTGGGAAAGAGAAAGGCCGACGAAGAGATTAGAATGGCGAGTCCAGTGAAAGTTATTGGAACATAATTATTGAGAAAAGGTGTCTGATTGAGGGTCATCGGATGATTACTGCTTTTAAAAGCTTTCACTCTCAGAACTTCAATTTCCTACTGATTCTCTCTTTTCTTTTACGATTTCCCTTTCTAGGGGCGTACCCTGTTTTCTTGATCAAATCTGAGAGAAGTTCAAGCAGCAAATCTGAATCACTCCTTAATCCTACCTCAATCTTCTCGCCTAGACTCTGAGTTGCCAACAGTGGATTGCGCCTGGGTGAAGAACACACATGTAATGCCGCTGCCATTTATGAGAACATTTCGCAATTGTTAAGTGGATCATTCCCTCCCATGAATAGAGTGGAGCGCTACAGAGGCCTATCTGCTGTTCTCCTTGCTTGTTCTTGTAGCCTATGAGCGCACAAGAAGGTCCTGAATCTCTATGGCTTGTTGCAGACTGCTTCCACTGTCGATCGCCTATGCATGGGTCTATTCATCTAATGTCTGTGTCTCTCACCGTTGTGCGACTCCATCTGTCCTCTTTTCTCGGCCCAGTGTTCTTCGCAAAGGCACTATCTAGAAG